GATGAAGCTCCAGCGCGTCGGATCCAGTGAACTTTTTGCAGTTGCGCTGACCGAAGTCGTTCAACAGTACACTTGTACCCACCAGATACCGCGCAGGCCAACTACCGTCCCTCCTGGGTTTGGTCATCGCCAACGAAAGGCACTTAGTTTATCAGGTGATAATTAACGCTGCACTGGGACACAGCGGCCGCTGTATACTGACCTTTGATTTCATCTGCTTTTGGGCCAGAAATCCCGAATCTCAAATGTGGATTTAAAACTTCTGCCTTGTAGAATACGCCTCTTTCCTGAACAAGTTAAACTGGGACCTGTTTCAGTGGAAGACTTACATAGGACGATCGTCCAGAAAGTTCGCGAGTCTGCCGTGATGTTCGCCCCCTCCCCCCCAAAAAAACCAGCACGCAGTTGGATGGGCCGCAATCTACCTAAAAGGATTCAGCGTCTTCTTGAAAAAAGGTCTTGATTTTCCAAAAAGTTGATTACGGGAGACACAGGGTGAGCTGGCATTTCGTAAAATGCGGAACCGCTGTATATAAAAAAACCCACCAATAGTCACACTGAGACCAGCTCCGGTGGAAGAACTATATAGGACTAATGTCCAGAAAGTCCACGAGGCTGAGGAGACGTTCGTCCCAAGAGAACCGGCACGCACTCGGATGAACCGCAGGCTGCCAAAAAGGATTCGGCGACTTCTGGAAAATAGATCCCAAATCTTTTTCAAAAAGTTGACCACAGGGGACACAGAGGATGAGCTGGCATTTCGTAAAATGCGGAATCGCTGTAAGTCGGAAATCCGGCAATGGAACATACGAAAACAAGCCACCATTCTGGACCTCGCTCGAAAAAACAAAAACGTACTGTTCAATTACATGAGACATCACCGCAGAAACAAGCCATCCGCGTTCTCCTTAAAGGACAGGAACGGGGTACCTACGAGTGACCCAACAATGGTATCTGAAGTCTACAGAGACCACTATTTAGGTCTATATTCAGCTCACATCCAAACTTGTCAAGGCGTAACTAGGAACGGCCTCTAACCGATTTGGTCTTCAAGGCGGGCGACATTCGTCAACTCTTGCACAAGATCAACCCATTCTGCGTGCTGGGGCTCGACGAGGCCCATCCAAGGTTCCTGAATGAAACCTCGTCCCTCCTGGCAAATCATCTCTATCTGGTGTTTCGTCAGTCGCTTAACGAAAGCCGCCTTCCCTCTGTTTGGAAGGAAGCGATTGTCACGCCAATCTACAAAACTGGTCACCGACTATCGCCCGGCAGCTGCAGGCCTATAAGCTTCACTAGCGTACCGTACAGGCAGATGGAGCTATCCTAGATCGCCCACTTTCAGCAACGTGATATCTCCAGCTCAACACGGATTTCTCCCAAAACGTTATTGCGTGACAAACATGCTCGTGTTTATGGACACCTTAACCCAAGCCAAGGACAAGGGACTCATATCAGATGCCATATTTTCTCCAAAAAACGGTCCCACACGTCCCGCGCCTTACAAACTCAAGTCTTACGGGATTCAAGGGAAAATCCTACGCTAGATCAAGGCGTTCCTATCAGACAGATCATTCCGAGTGAGAATAGGCTCGACCTACTCTTATCCAGCGCCGGTCTCCATCGGAGTTCCTCAAGGCTCCGTCTTGGGACCAGTGCTGCTTCTGATCTACATCAAGGACCTCCCAGATGTTCTTGCAAGTCCATGTATACTTTTTGCGGACGACTGGAAATCCTGGAATTCCAATGCTAGTGCCCTTCAAATGGATGTAGACGCTGCCAAGCAGTGGTCGTTGGACTGGCACCTTCCTCTGAATGACGAAAAGTGCGTCCATATGTAGTTTGGAGGAGCCTTGGCGAATGCCTTTGTTATGCATGGTGAGAAAGGACCAGAAAATATCACGAGGATAGATGCCAAAAAGGATTTTGGCATCTGGGTCTCCTCAAACTTGTCCTTCTCACTGCACTATGAGAAATCGGCCCGAAGGGCATTCGTCATTTTACGGATGATCCAACACACCTTCTTTCGTATCACTCGCATGGACTTCCAAATACTCTATGGGGCCTAAGTCAGACCGCTCCTTGAATATGTCAACAAAGTTGTCTACTCAGTACGCACGAAAGGCGTAACCCTCATTGAGCGTGTCCAGCAAGGTACTACAAAACTGGTTGCAGGCCTCAAATCCGTGGACTACGAAACGCGTCTCGCGGTGCTTGACTTCTTTCCATGGAATATCGCTGCCTGAACAAGGCTTGGCCAACAGGTTTTCCACCGTTGACCCAGCAACCACGCGGCGCGGACATAGTAAGTTGGTCTTCAAGCTCAGAGCGCACACTTCCATTAGGCAGTCAAGGAACAAAATGTCCGCCATACTAGGTCTGGTGTGAGAGTCAATGCAAGAATGTACACTCAGCGCTATGTACTGCACATGAAAATGTTTTGTGTAAGTAGACAATCCACAATGGCAACCAAACACAGGTCATTGACTGACCTTAAGAAGGCCCAGTCCACTAACAGCCTTGGCGGACTAAGGAAAGCAGATTTCTCGATAAGAAATTATCATCGGTTGGTGTACCAAAAAGTCCCTCAGGAAGAGACTGGACCTCACCGTGGTGTGGCCGTTTGTGTACTTCGGCGACGCATTGAGCTATACCGGGGGGGACTGTCCGCCCGACACAGTCTCTCATACCAGGTTGGTCCATGAGTAGAGGTCAGACGAACACAGTCTCCTGGTCCTCCAGGTTGGGGGTTGGAACATGCGTGGCGACGTGTTCCGTAAAAATAGTGATGTACTTGCATCTCCAGCTCAACACCGCTGCCTTGCGGCTAGGCTTTTGAGCCAAAGGCTTTGGTTGAGGACCCTAATCGTCCTCCTGTCTAGGTGTGGGCGGCCTGGCAGTGTCCTAGCCCTCGTACAACCATGACGTAAACTAACAATTCTCTCATGGCACATCGGCCGTCGCGTGGTGCCGTCAGGCAGGCG